GGGAAAACTAATTTTATTCTATACAAAACACCTTTTGAATTGAATGCTAAACTTCTAGACTCATCATCCATCATACATTTTATTGAGCTTTATATCTGGTGGCATAGTGCCTAAGGCATTTGACTGCTAACCAGAAGACTGGCGGTTCAAATCCGCCAGCTACTCCTCAAAAGGAAGATTGGTGATCTACTTACATAGTGATACCACCTCAGAAACCCAAAAAAGGGTCACTATGAGTCGGACCTGACTCCACTGCAATGGTTTCATTTTGCGTTGCGAAACTTTTGTTGCCCAAAAATCATACTTATCTCTGTTCATATACTATTTATTGTCTTTACCTTTGTTACTTTCATTCCTTCAGTTTCCATCTAGAAAGCCATCTTCAAACTAAAATTAAGCTCATCTGTCATCTTCTTATGAATACATACTTTTAATTCCTCACAGCAGCTGATAGAATTAACTAACCACTTCCTCCTCTTTACAAATTTTTAATGTTACACACATATCAGTAATCAAACATAATGTACTTCATTAAATAGACCTGACTAATGCTTCTCTGTCTCATTCAACTAGTTCTTAAAGACAAAGGCTGTATTTTAGTATTGTAGTGCCTACCATATAGTGAATCATCAATCAATATTTGAAGAATTTAATTGACTTGATTACTGTCTGAAAACTGAAATCTGAAAGCAGCTACTCCCTGAAGATGATTCCCAGAGAGGTCTAATATACCAAAATTTTCTATTTTGTATGCAGAAAGAACTTCCAGATCATTATAAGCCTTGGATGGAAATTGCCAACAAGCTTCCTTACTTGATTGAGAGTCACCAGCTCCGAGCTCTTGTGAACAAGGTATATATTTAAAAATCTATATCTATATCTGTGTATACATAACTAAGTAAGGTCCAAGGTTTACATTAGTGTTCACTCTTTTTGTTGAACAATCCCAAGCGTTTTGATAAATACATAATATCATGTATCCTTCATGATATTGTTGTTGTTAGGTGCCATTGAATCATCTCTGACTCATAGTGACCTTAAATACAGCAGAATGAAACACTGCCCTGGGCCAGCCTCATGATCCTTGATATACCTGAATCCATTGTTGCAGCTACTGCATCAATCCATCTTGTTGAGGCTCTTCCCCTTTTTCATTGACCCTCCACTTTTCCAAACATGACATCCTTCTCCAGAGAATGGTCTCTTCTGACAACATGACCAAAGTAGGTGAGATGAAGTTTGCCCATTCTTGCTTCCAAGGAGCATTCTGGCTGCATTTCTTCCAGGACAGATTTATTGGTTCTTTTAGCAGTACACAGTACTTTCAGCATTTCACCAACACCACAACTCAAAACCATCAATTTTTCTTTGGTTTTCCTTATTCATTGTCCAGCACTCATATGCATATGAGATGATTGAAAATACCATGGCTTGGGTTAGGTGCAACTTAGTCTTCAAGGACATATATTTGCTCTTCATCACGGAAAGAGGTCTTTTGTAGCAGATTTGCCCAATGCAATACGTCATCTGATGTCTTGATTGCTACTTCCATTGGCGTTGATTGTAGAATCAAGTAATATGAAGTCTTTGGCAACTTCAATCTTTTCTCCATTTATTATGATGCTGCTTATTGGTCCATTTGTGAGGATTTTTATTTTCTTTATATTGAGGTATAATCCATACTGCAGACTGTAGTCTTCAATTTTCATCAGTAAGTGCCTCAAGTCATCCTCATTTTCAGCAAGCATAGTTGTGTCATCTGCATATCACAGATAGTTAATGATTTTCCTCAGATCCTGATGCCACATTCCTCTTCACATAGTCAAGCTTCTTGGATTATTTGCTCAGCATACACATTGAATAAGTATGTAAAAGGATATAACCCTGACACACTCCCTTCCTCATTTTAAACCATACGGTATCCTCTTGTTCTGTTCGAATTAACAGGTCTATGTACATGTTCCTCTAAGTACAATTAAGTGTTCTGGAATTCCCATTCTTCTCAGTGTTATTCAAAATTTGTTATGATACATACACCAAATGCTTTTGTATAGTCAATAAAACACAAGTAAGTATCTTTCTGGTATTCTTTGCATTCAGCCATGATCCATATGACATCAGCTATGACACCCTTTGTTCCACATCCCCTTCTGAATTCAGCTTTTATTTCTGGAAGTTCTCTGTCAATATAGTGCTGCAACCATATTTGAATTATCTTCAGTAAGATTTTACTTGCATGTGATATCAGTGGCATTGTTTGATAATTTCCACATTCTGTGAGATCACCTTTCTTTGGAATGGATACAAATATGGATCTCTTTCAGTCAGTTGGCCAGGTAGCTGTCTTCCAAATCTCTTGGCATAGCTGAGTGAGTGCCTCCAGAGTGGCATGTTTGTTGAAACATCTCAATGGGTATTCTGTCAATTCCTGGAAACTTGTTCTTCACCAATTCTTTCAGTGAAGCTTCAACTTCTTCCTTTAATACCATTGGTTCTTGATCACATGCCACTTCCTGAAATGGATGAACATTGACCAATTCTTTTTGGTACAGTGACTTTGTATTCCTCCCATCTTCTTTTAATGTTTCCTGCATCATTCAATACATTGCTCATAGAAGCTTTCAATATTGCAACACAAGGCTTAAATTTCCTCTTCAGTTCTTTCAGCTTGAGGAATGCAAAGTGTGTTCTTGCTTTTTGGTATTTTGACTCCAGATCTCTGCACATTTCACTATAATAATTGACTTTGTCTTCTTGTGCTGCTTTTTGAAATCTCTGTTCAACTCTTTTATCTTGTTATTTCTTCCATTTGCTTTAGCTATTCTTCACTCAAGGGTAAGTTTCAGAGTCTGTTCTGACATCCGTTTTAGTCTTTTCTTCCTTTCCTGTCTTTTTAATGACCTTTTGTTTTCTTCATGGGTAATGTTCTTGATGTCATCCCACAATTCTTCTGGCATTCAGTCACTGGTGTTTAATGGATCAAATTTGTTCTTTAGATGGTCCTTAAATTCAGGAGGGGTATATTTAAGACCATATTTTGTCTCTTGTGGACTTGTTTTAATTGTCTTTAACATCAAGTTGAACTTTCATATGAGCAGTTGATGGTCTGTTCCACAATCAGCTCCTGGCCTCATTTTGGCTGAAAATATTGAGCATCTCCATCTCCTCTTGCCACACATGTAGTCAATCTGATTCCTAGGTACTCTATCTGGTGAAGTCCATGTGTATAGTCACTGTTTGTGTTGTTGAAGAAAGGTATTTGCAATGAATAAATCTTTGTTCTCACAAAATTTTATCATGTGATCTCCAATGTTATTTCTATCACCAAGGCCATATTTTCCAACTACCTGTGATTTTTCTTTGTTTCCAACTTTTGCATTCCAATCACCAGTGATAATCAACACATCTTGATTGCATATTTAGTCAATTTCAGACTGCAGAAGTTGATAAAAATCTTCAGTTTCCCTGTCTTGACTCTATTTGCTGATGTAGCATGATTCAAGATAAGAAAAAACAGCTGCAAACATCCATTAATAATCAGAACATGGAATGTACAAACTATGAATCTAGGAAAATTGGAAGTTGTCACAAATGAAATGGAATGCATAAAGATAGTTGGTGGTTGATGTGTATATTTGAATAATAGTAGTGCTAACTGGTCTTCCTTCTAGGCATATGGATATTATCCTATCACTGATAGCATTGTACATCAGGATATAGCTTGCTACATTCTTTGTCATGATGAATGCCAGACCACACCTCTTCAGTTAGTCATTCCTGCATAGTAGATCATATGATTGTCTGATTCAAAATGGCCAAAACCAGTCCATTTCAGCTCATTAATACCTGGGCTATCTATCTTTATGCATTCCATTTCATTTGTGACAACTTCCAATTTTCCTCAATTCATACTTTGTACATTGCATGTTCTGATTATTAATGGATGTTTGCAGTTGTTTTTTCTCATCTTGAATCATGCCACATCAGCAAATAGAGGTCCCAGAAGCTCTACTTTATCCACATCATTAAGGTCATCGGCTCTACTCGGAAGGAAGATGGAGCAATCTACTTTCATAAAGATACCTCCACGGAAACCCAAGGAGGGGTCGCTATGAGTTGGACCCAACTGGAAGGCAGTGAGTTTTTTTAAATTTATTTATTTATTTTCTTACTCTGAGGAGGCTGCCTTTCCCCTGTCATATTTTGAGTGCTTTCCAACTCAGTGGCTCATTTTCCCCCTTTATATCAGAAAATGTTTCAGAGCTATTCATAAAATTTTCCAGCAATACATCAAACAGTATTTCACTGTTATTCATAAGGTTTTCACTGGCCAATTCTTTGAGAAATGGATGGCTTCTTCCTTCTTCTGAGACTGTCTTGGTAACCACCACAGTATGACAAACTGACAGACAAGTTTGTCTCCCTTAGTTGTTCCAAACCACTCCACTCACTTCCTGGTCTCCCTCTGCCACTCCAAATGCACTGCCCTGGCTTGCTTCCTTCCTGGCCTCCCTCAGGCTGCTCCAAACTTGCTGCACTGCCTCACTTCCTTCTCGGCCTCCCTCAGGTGCTCCAAACCTGCCACACCACCTGCTTCCTTCATTACATTATCATGTAGAAAAGTTTCCCTGACTTAAAAGTGACTATTCCACCTATTCATTCCTTTCTCCACATCCCTGAGTCCTTGGCAACTATTTGTTTTTACTTTCTCCATAGTTTTGCCTTTTCCATAATGTCATGTAGTTGGAATCATATAGCATGTAGCCTTTTCAGATATTTTTTTTCCACTCAGCAATTTACATTTAGGTTCCTCCTCTTCTTTTGATAGCTTAATAGTTCATTTCCCTTTACTGCTAAATAACACTCCATTGTATGGCTGCACCAGTTTGTGTATCTATTCACCTATTGAAGGACACCTTTGTTGCTTTAACTTTTGAATTATAAATAAAGCTGCTATAAGCACTCATGTACAAGTTGTTATGTGGACATATATTTTAAATTCATTTGGATAAAATCCTGAGAGTGGGATTTTTGTATTTTGTTATAAGCCTGTATTTAGTTTTGTAAGAATCTACCAGGGTATCTTCCAAAGTGATTGTACCATTTACCTTTTCCCCAGAAATGAGTGAATGTTCCTGTAATGACGTATCATCATCATCATTTGACATTTTCTGCATTTTGGATTGTATTGTTTCTAACAGGTGCACAGGGGTTATTCATTGCTGTTTAATTTGCTATTCCTGGTGGTGCAGTGCCTAAGGCAGTTGATTGTTACCCAGAAAGTTGGTGGTTCAAACCCATTAGCTGCTCTGAAGAAGAAAGATGTGGCAATCTACCCTGTAACAATTTACTGCCATGGAAACTCAATGGGGGTCACGTGAGTGAGAATTGAGTCAATGGCAGTGTTTTATTTATTTTATTTTTTAAAAAAATAATGTAACTTCTTTTCATGAGCTTATTTATTATCTGTTTATCTTCTTTGGTGAAGTATCTGTTCAGATGGTTTTGTTAGTTCTTTGCTTGGGTTGTTCGTTTTCTTATTGTTGAATCTTTAGAGTTTGTTGTACATTTTGGATATAAGTCCTATAGGAGAGATGTGTTTTCAAATAGTTTCTCCACTCTGTAACTCATCTTTCAACTCTCTTTTCAAAAGTGTCTTTCACAGAAGTGAAACTTTTAATTTTATGAAGTACAGCTTACTTTCTCTTTTGAAATGATGGCAGAGGACCATTTGTGCCCATTTTAATAAAAGGCATTTTTTAAAAACAAGACTGTTTCTGCAAACCAGTTGCAATGGAGTGAACTATTTAATATGGCCTTTCTAGCCATCTCACAGGGGGGAGCTCTGGTAG